CGATCTATTTATCTATCTATTGATATCTATCTATCTATCTATCGATATTGACCTATCTATCTATCTCCCCCTTCTCTCTCTCATTCCTCCTTTGTTTTTTTATTTTATTTTTTATTTATCTATTTATTTTTAAATGTCTTGAAGGTATGAATCATATTCCTGGGCACATTCTTCTATCTATAGATAAGCTCTCCGTATAAGTTCTTTCATAAGTCACTCAGTATTCCGAGAAATCTTCATATTTTATATTCTCTATTCCTAGATCTATTAAATTTTTCCTGTTCCAAATAATGTTCCTGACTAATATGGATAGATTGCTTGATAGAGATGTAGATAGAAATAGATAGATGTAGACTGACAGATAAATAAATAGACAGACAGACAGATATTAGATATCCCTAAAGATACTGTCAAAACCCAGATGCATTCCCAGTTCCAAGATTCCAGATCCCTCCCACACCCCCCCTATCTCCTCCCACAGGACACGCGGGCGCACAATTCCAAGTACGACCTCATGAAGCGGCGGGAGCTTCTCTCTGGATTCTTCGGGGACGTGTGGGAGGTCCTTAGGAAGGAAATGAACTTCACGTGAGTAGTGGTGGTGGGTGTGGGCGTGGGAGTAGGTGTGGACGTGGATGTGGGTGTGGGTGTGAGCACTATCGTCATGATTGTCATTATAATAATTATTAATACCATTATTCTTCTTATCCTCCTCCTCTTCATCATCATCATCATCATCACCGTCACCATCATCGTATGACGATCACCACCATCACCACTATTATTACCATCATCATCCTTATCATCACCATCAATATCATCATCAACATCATCACCATCACCACCATCATCAACGCTACCACCCACCATACCTTGCCCTCTCTCACTCTCCCCTCCCTTACCCCGTCACAGCTACTCCGTCCGAACTCCCGCCGACGGAGAGTTCGGGGCGGAGTCGAACGGCAGCTGGACAGGACTCATAGGTGACTTACACAGCGGAAAGGCGGACGTCATCGTGGCTTATCTCTCAAGGACTTACTCTCGCACTCAGGCTGTCGACTACTCCTCGGTCCTCGTCAAGTTTAGGTGAGGGCGAGCGTGGTTCGAACGGCTGGGTGAGCGTGGTTCTTGAGTGTCGAGAGGGCCACGGTGTTCGAACGGCTGGGTGAGCGTGGTTCTTGAGTGTCGAGAGGGCCACGGTGTTCGAACGGCTGGGTGAGCGTGGTTCTTGAGTGTCGAGAGGGCCACGGTGTTCGAACGGCTGGGTGAGCGTGGTTCTTGAGTGTCGAGAGGGCCACGGTGTTCGAACGGCTGGGTGAGCGTGGTTCTTGAGTGTCGAGAGGGCCACGGTGTTCGAACGGCTGGGTGAGCGTGGTTCTTGAGTGTCGAGAGGGTCACGGTGTTCGAATGAGTGGGTGAAGGTGTGGTTAGTTTGCTGGATAGATGGATAAGTGAGGGATGATAAAAATAATGAGGAACGTAAGGATAATGAGAAAAAGAAGAGTAAGGATAGATATGATAGTGGTGATAATTCTATTGATAAAAATCATAATGATAGGGATAGTAATGATGATAATAATAATAATTATAATTATGATAATGGTGATGACATTAATGATAGTGATAATGATATCACTATCTTAATGAAGATTATTATACCAATAACAATAATAACGATTATAGTAAGAGCAATGATGATGATGAAAAATATTGATAATAACAATAATAATGCTAAAGGAAAAAATAGTGATGATAATAATAATAATAATTATTATTATTATAATAGTAATAATAATAGCAGTAATAATAATAATAATAATGACGATGGTGATATCTATTGTAATACTAGGTATGTTAATGATTATGATGATAAGTAATGATTAAGATTAATATAATTAAGATAATGGTAAGAATGACAATGATAACAATGGCAATTATAATAATAATGAAAATGCTACTAATAAATAATAATAATAATGATGATAATAATAAGAATTATAACAATGATAATTATGATAATGATAATATTATTAATGAAAATAATTAATAATAATAATAATAGTAATTATAATAATGATAATAATAGTAATTCTAATAATGATAATAGTAATTATAATGTTGATTTCATATGTTGTTATAATGTTTATAATAATAAGGGATCATAATACTAGTAACAATAATAGTAATGATAATAATGATAATAACGATAATATAAGAAGAAGAAGAAGAAAAAGAAGAATAGCAGTGGAATTGATAATAATGATACATCCCCAGCTATCGCATCTTCGCCCGCCCTCCGGAGAGAGCTTCCGTGTCCTGGACGTCTTACACTCGGCCCTTCTCGGTGGGGCTGTGGGTGTGTCTGCTCCTGGCGCTGGTGCTACTGGGGATCCTGTTCTGGGCGATAGCAACGTGGTACTGCCGGCGGGAGGAGAGGTCTAAGACGCCCTCGAATTGTCTGCAGCGTTTTCGAAACTGGAAGTCGGATTCTTCCATGGTGATGTGGGCCGCTATCACTCAGCAGGGTATGGGAGGCCGAGACAAAGTTTTAGTTTCATATCTCGTTCTGTTTTATTTACCATTTCACTTGTTAACGTGTAGCCGTGGAATTATTTTTTTGGAATGATCTGGACACACTGCTTTGAAATTAAGTGAAATGTGACGGAATGCTCCGTAGATTTCATGCATGAAAAAGCCTTGGTTCAAAGGATGGTTCAAAGACGGCGTAATCTCACTATGGTTATTATCTAAGAAGACCCAATAGAGGGATACTTCTGAAATTAACCAACAACTCCTTTATCCTATTAAACTATATGACTTACATGATGGAAAAGCATAATACAATAACACAAACAGTAATGCAGACAGACACAGACAATTAGGCTTCCCATCGTATCGTGTCTTTCATAACAGACTGTATCTAGATGCAACTCAGCGAACATGATATACACCAAACGTACTCACCTCCACATTAATAAAGATAAACACATCACATTACTTTCACTTCAACGCACCTAAGCGTACCCCACGCACTTCACTTCCCCGCCTCAGGATGGACCGTAACGCCAGAGGTGAGCATCCTCCGGCTGGTGTTCTGGATCGCCTACATGGTCGGGGTGGTCGTGGTGGCAGCGTACTCGGCCACCCTCGTCTCCTTCCTGACGGTGCAGGGAGACCACCTTCCCTTCGATTCCCTGGATGATATTCAGAGGATCGGCAAGCATCGTTTGGGAATCCTCAAGGGCTCGGTTCTTGAGGAATTCTTCAAGGTCAAAACCTGCTCTTTTGCATTTTTTACTAATGTATTGGATTTTCCGCCTTTCCCGTATACTGCACTTCTAATACTTTCTTTTAACGGCATTTTGTTTATCTAGTTTTCTGCAAAAGTCACATGGAATCAATGGAGATATGTACCATTTAATTTCTATAGCTTTATGAAAGAAGCTTTTGTTTTAATATCAGCTATTTTATTCATAAAGTATAAGTATTTCATGAAAGTATGTGTTTCATTTATTATTGCTTTATGAGATAAATTTGTTCGACTCAAGAATTCAGTGACACGTTTTCTTATTTTTTGGCAGGCAGGGAAATACATCTTACGTAGTAATTACATAGATCTAACTGAATTCATAAGATGATGTATCAAATGAACTCACCCCCTCCCCCTCTTCCCCAAACAGAACCAGAACTTCATACAGTACTTTAATTCGCTCATCCTGCCCTACCCGGACACGCTGGCCAAGTCCTACAAGGAGCTGAGGGCGCAGGCTCTCAAGGACTCGGACTTCGCCTACGTGGGCACCTACGAGATCCAGCGGCTCGACAGCGTGGGGGCGTGCACCTTCCGTTCCGCCCGCCAGCACCTCCTATTCAACGACGGCTCGCTCGGCTGGCCCAAAGGCTCGCCCTACGTGCAGCTCTTCGATCATTTGTGGGTTTGAGATGCGGCGTGGTTTGTTTGTCCCTTCCTCCTCTTTTTGTGGAGGTGCTTGGCTTTCTTTCTCTTCGATTTCAAACGGACCGAGATTACAGCGGGATTTAGATCTTGTACTTGATGTGCAACCAAGCGGGTCGTAAAACTGGTCATTGTCAGTTCTGATACCATGTGCCAGACCATTATGATGGACTAATGTATAATTCATATACACTTACATCTGCTGAAAGGGGATCCAGTTGCAGGTTATTTATAGCTTATGTATATTTGAAGGCCCATTCTTCAACGTAAAATACGTTACAATAATTGAGTGTCGCTCTTGTCCCTTCCAGTTACCCCTCCCCCCACCCCGCCACCTTTGTGGGCGAATAATCAATTCACTGATGCAGATGTATTATGCAATCCACAGTAAATGGATAAAATATCCCTTTGTTGTTGATAACAAGCGTCATGCCAAGAAATATGTTCCCCTTTATGGTTAGGCCTATAAGCTTTTAGCACGTAATTAAGCACACAGCCGTAGTACGTCAGGCGTTGATAAGCCTTTTAAGAAGTCACTCAGAAGGAACACTCATTCACAACGTTGTTAACAACACCGTTGAGTAAGATCAATGGAAAAACCAAACACATGCCAAAGAAAACTAGTTTGACATTCGCCAGGAGGATATATATAGAAACACAATTACATATACAAATACAAACACATGATTTAAATAGAAGTACATATACGATAAAGGGTGGGAGACAGGCCATGGAACCGAAATATAATCGGCCAGTCGTTCGTGGTGGACTGGATACCTCCATACATTAGTGATGTGAGATAGCTCAAAGGCTTCTGTCCACCTGTTGGACCTTCCTTTAGACTCTTCGATAAGTGAAAGAATGATTATCTTCTCATACACAATGGCGTCCAATTCACTGCGTGTCAGTTAGTTTAAGGATGGTATGTTTATTAGATATTGCTGTAAATGTGACTTTTCTTGGTGTTATTTTCGCAAGTTATATGAACATTTCCCTCGTTATTTAATATTAAAATTATGTATCTACAATAATCATATCTTAAGAAAACAAAATAGAATAAGTGAACAGGTATGCACACGCACAATAATAATAATCATCATAAAATGAATAACACAAACATACACCAATATCCAATTTATAACAAACCACATACTTTCAGCATCAGCAGACTCCGCGAGTCGGGCCTGCTGCAAAAGATGTTACTCGATTGGTACCCCGATTCTTACTACTCGTGCCCAGACCAGCCTGTGGTTGCCTTAGGCCTCAAGCAGGTAGGTGCCCGGGGCTATTTGAGGTGGTTCACTAATGTTTTTAGTATATGTACGTGTGTGTCTTTTCCGTTAAAAAAATTGTAAGGCTTTCTGTCGAGGGGAAGTCCGAAATATCATCCACCCAAGCGGCGGATGGTGGCTTAGGGCCGAGAGAAGGGGGGAGGGGGCCCGTTCACTTCCCCTGTGTGGAGACACTGTCCCATGCCCCAGGTACACATCCCTTAAGAAAATGGATCTGTCTATGCTGTTCTTGACCTCATGAATAAAAAGAAAATAAAAGCAAAGCACCACGGATAAATAAAAGTATAAAGACGATAAAAAATAAAGCTCGTTCTGAAGGAAATAAAATTACTTAAGCTTAAAAAAAATCAACGATATGAACGATACATTCCATATCCCGAGTATCCCCTGTGAGCCTCCATTAATTAGTAAAATCCATAAGGTGATGACGTGGCAGGTTTTAGATATATATAAATGAATTCAAAGTCATAAAACAATTATCCAAGACTAATAAAAGTGATTGATATTAAAACTGAGGATTTAAGTAAGTTTTAAAAGGAAAAATAAAAACATAAAAACGTAAAATGAAAATAGTAAAATAATTGGGAGGAGTTCGGTATTAAAATGAATTATGAAAACATTGAAATCATTAAGAATTAAAAATAAAATGCATAAGAGATTGAAAAGAAAACACTAAGATCCCCACCTACCCTTATAATAAAGAAAACAGCAATAGTTTTCATTTAGCACATTCTACAAAAGCATGGTTTGGCAGTAATAAAATATAGCCGTGATGAGTGTGTGGGCAGGAATCATCGCCAGCGTGTTTGAGCGCCGCCCGCTGGATTACCCAAGTTCGGTTCGGGATTCGGGATTCGGGATTCAGGTATGAAGGGTGTCGAGGGGACAGGTAGGGTATTAGGGTAGAGGATAGGGGGTAGGCGTAAGGACGAAAGTTTAAGAAAAAGGTGGAAAAGGAGAGAAATTAAAACGAACCGAGAGAGGGAAATGAAAGAAATGAGCAAGAGATCAACGGAGGAATAGAAAAAGTAGAGAGCGAGGAGATTAGTATGGGAGACGAGAAAGATGCAGAAGAACGAAAACCGCAAAGTAGAACAGAAGAGAAATGAACGAAAGGATTAAACGAGAGAAACGAGAGAAAGAAAATGAGAGAAGGATAAGAATGCATAACGAAGGAACGGAGAACAGGAGAAAACTAGATTAGCATAGAGGAAAGGGAAAAAAGGAGATGAAGGTAAGAAGTGAGAGCAAGAGAATGAGAGAGTATTTAAGAAAGACGAGGGATAGCGGGTAGAGTAAATAGAGTATAGGTGTCCGGATAATACGTGAAAAGGAGAAAGAGGAAAAGAGAGAGAGGAAGAGAAAGAGAGGGGAAAGCTTGGAGAAGAGGGTAAAGGGGGAGACTAAAGCAAAAGGGAGGCAAGGCAGACTAAGGGGAACAAGGGTGAGGATAAGGGGGGAAGAGGGGTTACAATCCAGGATGGGGGGAGGGGGGGAATGGTCGGAGACCTCACAACCCCTAAGGTTGTTTATAGATTTACACATCTCTTTTTTCAGGTCTTCACGGCATTCGTGATGCTCGGGTGCGGTGCTCTGGCAAGTGGCGTTTTCCTGTGCCTGGAAAGAACCGTCTTTCAGTTCCATTATCACCAGCGAACGAAAAGGCATCAGGTACCCTTTTCATGTTGTAGGTTTTACTACTATCGCTGTTGTTGTTAATATGTTTGCTTTTTGCTATTATTGTCTGCTTCGTATTATAGTTTTCTTGTATCGTTTATGTACATGCATATACAAATAAACCTGCGTATACTTTTTCTCACACATTCAAGACTTACAGACATATATAAACTCCTCATACGTACATACACACGCAAAAATACAGAGAAAAAGAGACAGAGATATTCAATAGTTCAGTGTGTCTGTATATATACTGTATAATTATTTGTATGTATATGGAAAATATATATATTCGAAAATATACATATATTTTATATGTATGCTGTATATATAAATTATATGTATGTAGATGTATATGTATATTACATATATATAATGTTTATAGTTCCTTAATCTGCAATTGTATTTCCAGGAACAAAGTAGAGAGACGCTGGCCCAGTCGAAATACCTTGAGTGTGAAAGTAAATACAGCCTCTGTGGAAACAAGAACAGAATATCCCATGGACCATGAACAAGAAATGTTATGTTGATAAATATACTGGATACATTTTCGAATTATACACGTATGAATTAATGGACTGTTCATGCATGTGGTGTGGATGTATTATAACAAATGTTGTGAGTTTGTGAAAAGTACTTCCTGGATTTAGTTCAGATTGTTTTATCTTTTAGAATTAGTTGAAAGGCTAATAAGTTTCCTTTTGAAAAGATATGCCTACAAGTAATGCCCAAACTATAGGTACATAAAATATGCTTTGAAAACTATTTGAAGTATATGTTAAGCTCTGACTCTCAGTATTTTTTTTTTTTTCCTTTCTAATGTATGAGAATAGGAATAAGAGAGAGATAATGCATCAGATTATCGAAGAATGTTTACACGATACCTTCAAGTGTAAGTAAATAATAAAATAATAAAAATATGATACCATTTTCACCAAACACTTAGTCATCTTCTCAGGACAGCTCTAAGTACCGCTTTTTGATACCTTTATACTCGTATATCTTATCATTTACCTGAACTCATGAAAAATGTCCAAACAATCATTACTAAAAGAAAAAAAAAATTATGTATAAGAAGCATTCCTTATTAACTGATTCTGCAGCAAAGTTACACAGGTAACCTCTGAGACAGAGGTTCTTTTTTGTAAAGAAAACAAAAAACAAAATACGTACAGAATAAGCAATTCTTATGATAATTTTGACCATATTTTTTAAATTTTCTTACACATCTAACTACAAAAGGTTATATGACCAAATGGTAGCAATTCACATTTCACCTAAATGAATAAATGTTCTTCCTAACTTGTCAACACAATGTTCCCTGTAAACTGTTCATAAGAATATATAAATATATATATATAAATTATATATTTATATATATCATATATATATCATAAATATATTATATGAATATCATACAAATATCATATAAATATATATATATCATATATATATCATATATTATATATATTATATATATATCATATATATATCATATATGTGCTATATATATACAATATATATAATATACATATATCAATATATATATATCATATATAAACATCTTCATATATCATATATATATATATATACATATATATACATATATATGTGTGTGTACGTATATATGTACATATATATATACATAAATATATTTATATAACTTATATATTTATATATATATATTATACATATATCATATATATATCATATATATATCATATATATATCATATATATATCATATATATATCATATATATATCATATATATATCATATGAATATCATACAAATATCATATGAATATCATATATATATCATATATATATCATATTTTATATATATATATATCATATATATATCATATATATGCTATATATATACAATATATATAATATATATATATGATATATATCATATATGTATGATATTTATATAATATTTATATATATATATGATATATATATATATCATATATATATATCAATATATATATATCATATATATCATATATATACATCTTCATATATCATATATATATACATATATATACATATATATATGTGTGTGTGTGTGTGTGTGTACATATATATATACATTTATATATATACATTTACAAATTCGTATACATATACATATATATATACATATATATATATGTAACTTGGGGTGAAGGTCGTGGCAGGACTGAAGGATTCCTTGACCCCGCCTTGTACATACCCAAGGATTCGATGGTGAGTCAAAATTCATTATGTTTCGTTTATATGTGTATCATATTCAATTATTTATAGTATTCATCAGAATCTTTTCGTTTCTAAGAGCGTGTTTTGAGATAGATGGTCCTCTGAGTACACGACGGGGCGGTCATTATAACTGTCTATGCTAGTATTTGTTTATCTATAAGCATATCATTTCTAATATCCATCCATCGATGTATCAATATTAGTATCTAGAACGTTAACAAACGATTTTCTATCCAGTCACCAAATCTATTTGTATTGATTTTAATTTATTATTATTATTGTTGTTATTATTATTACTATTATTATTACCATTATTATTATTATTACTATTATTATTATTATTATTATTATCATTATTTTTATTATTCTCATAATCATTATTATCATCATTATTTCTATTATTATCATTATATTTATTATTCTCATAATTATTATCATTACTTCTATTATCATTATCAATATTATTGTTGCTATTATTATTACTATTAGTGTTAGTCTTAGTATTAGTATCATTAATACTATTATTACTGTTATTATTATTATTATCATTATCATTATCATTATTATTATTATTATTACTATTATTACTATTATCATTATTACCATTATAATTATCATTATATTTATTATTCTCATAATCATTATTATCATCATTATTTCTATTATTATCATTACCAATATTATTGTTGCTATTATTATTACTATTAGTGGTAGTGATATATTACAATTTAGTAATATATCGCATAGGCAGGATATTCTTTTTGTGTGTTTTGTGCATTTTGTTTGTCTTTGGTGAAGGTATAAATAAAAATAGATTGTAATTAAATGACTTTACGTACTTTCCAAATCTTTGGCAATTAATAAATGCTAGTTAATAATAAATGACTGATAACTGATAATGAAAGAGGAGTTTAATACATTTACTATAAAAAAAAAATACTATACAATAATGAAAGTACTTTATAAATAATGAATCCTATAACATTAATACATTAATGGGAGACCTGATAAATGAGTTAATTATTTAACGTATTTAATGACAATAAGCTAATGACGTTTATAAGTATCGTAATGAAGAATGAATGACATCAATGAATGAACAAGAAACTTGAAAATCACTAGTGTATTATTTGTTTATTGCACATTGCAAATAATAGGTATTTGGAATAAAAGTTAATCATGAAAATCATTATTAATGTAATTGGAAATGTCATTTTGTTTGGAAAGAATTGAAAAAAGTTGGATTTCTGTTTTGTAGTGTCCCCGAAATGCATTGTGGGTAGGCCATTTTTGTTTTGAGCCATTTTTTGGCGGAGGACAGGAGTGACGTACTTACAAGCTTTCCAGAATGAAGGCATGGTATGCTATGTAAGCAGATTTTGGAGGTATGTAACATTTAATGATATTATTCTGCATTTGTGTCATAATAGTTGAAATGGTTAAAACATATCATATAATGAATAATAAAGGTGATTATGAATAATGGAACATTCTGGTGAAATCTTTTGGAAGTTGATATTTGTTTTAAGGACTGGGATGCCGGGCCATAGCCAAAGGCCCGGGCGAAGCTAGAATTTCGCAAATCACAATCATCAGGACTGGGATTTGCAGTGAGTTAATGTCACCAGGACTTGCTTGTCTACAACAACAAACGTTGGGGTTTGTTGGGATTTACCATGAAGATTTAATTGTCTACAAAAACTGGGATGCGTGATGGTGTAAGTCAAAACATATTTTTTGTCTGAATCAAATAAAGTAGTTTTGTATCATTCTCAGTGAATGAATTCAGTTATTGTGTATTCTGCAAAGGAATCTGTATGTTAAAACCTGAATATCAGAAAGTAATTTTGTTGTTGTACTTTATGATTGTATGCATATGATTATTATAGTGTAGATGAATTGTTTATCTTTACTATTCCAATGTCTTGCAGGTTGAATTTTAAAAATGTGATATGTAGACATATAGGTATACAAGGATAGGAACATCAGTAGACTGACATTTGAAAGATGTAGATAATCAGATAAAATCATGTGCAACTCTATATAGATATGAACTAAGACCTAACGATGACAGCAAAGCAAGTTTATTTCAGAATATTACAGTTTGATCGCTTGTCTTCCGGGGAATGATAAGACAAATGTTAGCTATATATTCTCATTGCTAGCAAATCCGACAATTATCTGCCTCCTGATGTTGTGTTATAAGTCTCCATTCTAAGTTTTCAAGAACTGCATTTGTAATAAGCTGTATGCATCGACATTTTTTTTCGTTCGCTATCGTCCCTGGAAATAGCTTTACCAAAACTGACTTTGAACTTTGTATTTCGTTACTAAAGGATAGAAAAAAGTGAAGGTGACACCGACATTTAGTATATTTCTGTAGACATAAAGGCCTAAAACACAAAAGACTTTTTCAAGACATCAAATTTTCAACATAAACTCCATTAAGGTCAATAAACATTTGTCAGTGATGCTACCAACTATTTAATATATTTCTATAGACATAAAGGCCTTAAAAAAATGAAAAGAGTACATTTCTAAAAATGAATAAATAAATAAAAAATAAGAAAGACATAAAAAGCCATTTCTCACATCGATTAAAAATTTAGATTTGCACCTAGCATTAAATTCTCACAAACAGGAATAAATGAGACATTGCCAAATCAGGACAGAAAGGTACTGTTGTTGCCCCATTACTGGAAATTAATAATCTTCATCACTGTTAACTCACACTCTAACTCATAATGACAGTAATAACAATAAAGATGATAATGGTAAATAATAATAATGATACTACTGCTAATAATTAAAAAACTAATAATAATGATAATAATAATAATAATAATAATGACGTTACAATAATCATAATAATAATATTGATAGTCATATCAATAATTATAATAATAATAATAATAATAATAATAACAATGATAATAATAATCATAACAATATTCATAATAATAATCATAATATTGATAATAATGATAATAGTGATAATGGTAATAATAATAAATTCTAACTAATGTTCATAACGAACAGTTATGAATACCATGATTATTGATATGGTAATCTAAAAAAAAAATAAAATATAAAAATAAAATAAAAAAAATAATGAAAAACAAAAACAAAAACAACATATTCCTAACCGCAGCCCACATTCTTCTTCAACGGGGTCGTTTGCGTTCTGGAAATAAATAATCTTCATCACTGTTAAATCACACTTCCGTAGAGCATATGTACAATATATATATGAATACACACAGACATA